AACGACATTTTTACAACTTTAAAAATGCACACTGGAGTGACAAAAGTCATGGGATAGCAATATGCAAATTTACAGATGGCAGTAGTATCACGTAGAAAATGTATAAATGCGAAGTGCTTTGGCAGGGCTTTCATTTGTGTTCAAGTTATTCACGTGAAGAGGCTTTGACGTGAGTATGGCCGTACGATGAGAATTAACAGACTTTGAATGCGGAATGGTAGTTGGAGCTAGACGCATGGTTCATTCCATTTTGGATATCGTTAGGGAATTTAACATTCCGAGATCCACAGTGTCAAGAGTATCTAATTTCAGGCATAACATCCCACCATGGACAGCGCAGTGGCCGACCACCTGCACTTAACGACCGAGACCAGCGACGTCTGCGTAGAGTTGACAATGTTTCACAGACAAGCAACACTGCGTCATATAACTGCAGAAATCAATGCGGGACGTACGAGGGACGTGTCCGATAGGACAGTGTGGCGAAATTTGTCTTCCTTGGGCTATGCCAGCAGAAGACCGACTCGAGTGCCTTTACTGAAAGCACGACATCGCCTGCAGCAACTCTCATGGGCTCGTGAGCATATAGGTTGGTCCCTAAACGAATGGAAAACCGTGGCTTGGTCAGATGAGTCACGATTTCAGTTAGTAAGAGCTGATGGAAGGGTTCGAGTGTGGCGCAGACCCCACGAAGCCATGGACCCAAGTTGTCAACAATCAACAAGGCACTGTTCAAGCTGGTGGTGGTTCCATAATGGTCTGGGCTGTTTTTACATTGCATGGACTTGGTCCTCTGGTGCAACTTAACCGATCATTGACTGGAAATGGATACCTTCAGCCATTTAAGCCATTTATGAACTTCACGTACTCAAACAACGATGGGATTTTTATGGATGACAATGCGCCATGTCACCGGGCCACAACTGTTCGCGATTGGTTAGAAGAACATACTGGACAATTCCAGCGAACGATCTGGCTACCTAGATCGCCCGACATGAATCCCATTGAACATTCATGGGACATCATCGAGAGGTCAGTTCGTGCCCAAAACCCTGCACCGTCAACAGTTTCACAATTACGGACGTCTATAGAGACAGCATGGCTCAATACTCCTGCAGAGGACTTCCAATGCCTTGTTGAGTCCATGCCACATGAAGTTGCTGCACTTCGCTGGGCAAAAGGAGGACCAACAAAATATTAGGAGGTATTCCATGACTTTTGTCACTTCAGTGTATGTGTAAGGCTTATGCTTTAATTAACCATTCATTAATTTTTAATTAATCATAAATTACAATCAATTTTATTACATTCTTTAAAATGCATATATATATTCAACTGAATAATTAAAAATATGTTTTGTAAATTATATGCACATTTAATTAGAAATTTTCATTTAACTCCTCATGCAAAATATATCACTAAATCTACTAATATATGATTGAAGCAAGTATTTTAAATCACTACTAATCATAGAAAACATCAAAATCCATAAATCATATACCTTTATTCTGGACTTGATTTCCACAGGGAAATAAAATTTAAAAAAATTAGATAACCAAGACTAATACAAAAAACTACTAAAAAATACTTATAATTTATTTATAAATTATGAACGCAAAGATTTATATGCTTAAGTCTGATTTTTGATATATATATATATATTTTTAAATACAACAAATTTCTTTATTTGCCTGCATATACGTATATTTTTTCCAATCAAAACTGCTTCAAGAGTTTTAAGACCTAAATTTGGTCGAAATTCAGTCTGATTTTTTTTTTTTTAAAATTCTTTTACAAGCTGCATTTAAATGAGGTATTATTAAAACAGCAAGCATTACAGTAGGCAACACTTTGTATTTAATACACCCAATCATATCTTTTAATTTGGCAATTTCTTCTCATGCTATATCAATATGCAAATCTACAATTTCTTTCAAATCATCTATTTGACACATAGAAAACTCAATTTCTGCCTCATTAAGATATTTTTCTTCAATAATGAATGGGAGTATATTCATCAAGAAAAGAGCAGATGAAAATGAAAACTTCAGTTCTCAAGTTTTAGAATCAGCATGTTTTAGAAATGGATCACTTAGTGGAAATTTATCTATTATATATGAACACACAGTTACAAAAAAAGCTTGCACAGAATTGAAAAATAATTTCACTTCACTTTCATTTAACTCAGCATTTTTTAAATATAATCTTGTTTCTGCACCAATTACTAAATTTTCACTTCTGAAATGAAATAGATGTTACAGTAACATCTTCATTTTCTTTAGATATTACTGATGGTTTTACAAATCAGACAAATAAACTCATTAAAATTTCAACAAGTTCTCTTCTCAATTTATGAAAGTAAGGAGCTTGTTGCACATTAATATTTATTGTTATAAGCAAAGTATTTATCAAAAATAATGAGTAAGGTGGTACGTGATTGAAACATTTTTTTAAAAAAAATCTTTTGCAATCTCTTTCCTTCATTCTTACTGTATCTGGTTGATCACCAAAAAGAATTAATCACAGCATCCCACTGTTCCAATCTTTGTTATAGATCAAAAGAACACACTGATCGATTCATTTAAATTTTATTCGTCAAAATTTTAGCACTTGAAGTTGCTTTTTCAATTCCCAAAAAAAAACATGACCTACTAGGTTTAATGTTCTAACCTCCTTTCAAAGCAATTTTCCACATTGAAATGCCATTAATCCGTTCCAGCTTCCAAAACACTACCTCAGTTGTTTTTTAACTGTTTTTAAATAAGAAAGAAAACAAGAAGAAACATTTATTTATAAATAACAAATACATATTCTATAAAAACATAATTAAAAGAAAAAGTGAAGTGCCTACGGAAGCGCTTAATTTTTGTCACTGGTCTTCGCTTTTTTCGTCATGATCTGCTCATTTTCACCCGCAGATCGTTTAAAAAAAACTGTCCAAGGAGGTTTGTTTCTTCCTCCCTGTCAAGGTATTGCGGAAATGAGTTAGGCAAGTTTCGTTGAACAACTCCGATGCACGACTAGTTGCAACTTTTTCGCGGTGATTTTTATCCACGAACTCTACAACTTTCTCCTACATTCCCAAGATCTGTTTTATATCTCTTGTAGGGATAACCTCCTCCATCCTCTGGCTCCTCTTCAAAACTAATTTTTCGTTGAACCACCGTATGCTGCTGCAAATACAGATCGTGTAACTCCTCGGTTGTCAGCTCCTGAGACTGTTGTCCTCGACGAGTTCGTTCACATCTCTCTCCATCCACCTCCAGACTCATGGATTTTCCAGAGAAACAAGTCTACGAGTGGAAACTTAATGGCCAACACACACGGCCAGTGCGTAGGCGGGGTCCTGTTTCAAATTATTCACCAAGAAATCGCTGGAAGCGCATCTCAAACCCTAATTGGCCTCTATTCGGTCACTGAATCTATTAATAACATTTCGATTTCTGAACAAATAAATTTTTCAGTAGCTTTTTTTGCAGCTGTATGCAAGAAGTGGCATGTACAAACCTCGGATGATTATATTTGGATGATGCAACACCTTTAAATTTTACCATCATATTACTAGCATTATCTGAAGAAAATTATAAGCAAATTTTCCATTCTAAACCTTTGCTTTTAAAGTTTTAATTTATACAATTAAAAATACCTTCTCCAGTATTGTTCGTGCATTCTAAAATAGAAATCAATGAAGTAATTATCACTTCCTTTCTTTGCTACAATATGCTATAATCAAAGGGTTGTTATCATTACTTCCATCAATACTTAGAGAAAATGATGTATTGCATACTGATTTTATAATATCGGCAACAGTACTTTCTGCAAGAGTTTTACAATAGCAGCAGTTTTGATATGGCTGCAACTAAATATTTTTTCTGTGGCAGAAAACAGAAACATTGCTTTGAAAAGCTGTTTGGAATAATCTGAAACTGAAATTGGTAGATTATGTTCAATTAAAAATCAAACAAAATAGCATTCACTTTTAAAGCATCTGTTTTATCATCTTTTATGAAGAAATTCATTATTTCTTTAGTTTTACAGTGCCAAGTTCTTTTATGCTTTTGAGAAAAAACATGCCGCTTACTGACATGCCCTTTCTTCCATGCACAACTGAGAAGTTTTTGTTGCATACACTGTAATGAGCGATTTGATGCATGAAAATTCTGAAAATAATTTTTATGCTTGCTATTTTCAATTTACCTTGAAGATGGTATGAATTTTCCAAGCAAAAATCTATTTTACAAAGAAAAAGAATTTGTGAAAATCGGCATAATATGCAATTATATACTGGAAAAGAAATCATTTCCTTCAGGCACCAAGTCAGCTGTGATAACATATTTGAAGCATTGCAGCATTGCTGAAATGTGGCTAGCAGGAAGATTCTGTATAAAAATGGATTTTTCAGTTAAACAAAACTGTATTAAATGAAATAATAAATAGAATTTTACAATTTATTTAATTAAATACCTAATTCCTTCTATATTATACATTAAAACAGAAAAAACTGCAGTTTAGCAGTTTCATTTTCACACATTTGCCAAAGTTCACAACAAATCACATTTTCCTAAACTGCGTCAACACTATTTTCTCTTATCAAAACTGCTACGGAAGGCAAATACCCAAATTAAAACTAAATCTGAACACCCATTTGGTATAAACATTCTGGTAAGTAAACAACAAAAGATTTTTAAAAAAGTAAAAAAAAAAAAAAAAAAATACTGAGGAAAACCTGCATTGATCGAGGTTGTATATGTTTTAAAGGGAAGCATTATTGATATACATTATGAACATTTGGGAAAACAGTTCAAGGATTACACTAACATGAAAATGCATCATGATTTTGTTCTAGTAAAAATAAATTTAGGAGAGGGTACAGTTTATACAGAAAAGTTTTACAGTTTATATAGTTTTACAGTTTATACAGAAAAAAACAATATTCAGTTTTATGAAAATTTTATAAAGGAATCTGCATTCGTTTACACTTTATAGAAAACAACACTTACAACTTTTTTCACGACGAATACGACCATCAAATAGTGTCCTTTCTTTAAAACTCATTGCTTCTTCAAAAACACGTTTTGGCTTCTTTGATTCTTTAGATAGAATTTTGCATTTGAACACTGTAGGGCTATATCATAATAAAGAAAAAAAAAAAGTTATTTAAATCAGCACTGTTCATAACATATCATATTACACATATTTAACAGTACATATTAAAACTAGTATGATAGTATTTTAAAAATAAAACAATTCAATTCTAACAACAAGAAATGCATATTGCTATAAATATATTCTTAAGCATAATGAAAATATTTTCCATTATTCATAATTTTATGAGCTTGCAATCAATTTCTCGATTCAGTTACTCATAAAAAAAGAAAAATCCTTATTGTAAACTTCTATATGATTTATAATGATTATAATATGCTTATTTTAAAAGAAATGAAATTCTTGATAAACCAGAGACAACTGGAATGACTGAACTGAAACTTTTATACTGGAATGAATTTTTATAAAGATGCTAATTATGTTATGAGGAAAAGCTTCCCTTTGGTGAAGAAAAATTTTTTTTAGTGTTGATAACAAAAGATAATGCTTCCCTTTAAAACATATATAACCTCCTTTTTGTGTGCGTGCATTGAAATTAACAACAATTATCAAAATCCATGTTTTCAGTTTATCAACAGCATTCCTAAATATGGCACAATGAAAAATAACTGTATTTAAATTCTGAAATATCTGAAAGTAAACCCCTTTCAACAGAAGTTTCCATTTCAATTCTTAAGGTAATTTTATGACTAGACAATAATTTTTCAATAAATATAAAATTCTTAATTAATGCATTTCTTTAACTAATATTACTTGTAATATTGTATCATTCACAAGGATGGAATAGATAATATACAATTTGGTTACATACTATTTGGATATTCATTCCTAGAACTACTTACTCATATTTGTTTTAAAATCAGGCCAAATATATATGCACTAAAATGTACATACATTAAATGTTAGTAATGTATATACTTACATTAAATGTTTCCCCCTCCCCCAGTAAATATAATGGGAAATTTATAATGCAAAGTGAATGATTACTTTAGAAAACCAACAAAGATAAAAACAGAACTGACAGCAACTTAGAGAGATGGAGATAAAATATGTAAGAGTGGTTGGACATTTATTAGAAAACAGTCAGTAAATACTGACAAAAATTAACTGTAACTATAAAATGAATACACTGCACTGCTTTTTCATACATTAATTTTATTATCTTACACATAGAAAAACAGCTAAAAAAATTAACTAACAATAGATAAGGTTTACAAAGTTTTATGTAGCTGATCATCAATAAAGATGGTCCAGACAAAATAGCAAAAAAATTTTATAGGATGAATCTACATTCAGACTAATAAGGGGAAATTACATATCTTTGTACATTTGAAAAGTGAAAAAAGTAATGTAATTTTATAAAAATATTTAATGTGTTTAATTAGATATATTCTGAATTAAAGAATTTTTATTTTAAATCAATCACATTAAAAAATAAAAAAATACTTTTAACCCTTTTGCACCAACTGTCACACATACATGCCAGCAAAAAACGCACTCATTTCCCAGCTGGCAGACTGGCATGCCAGAGCATTTTCCATTCAGTCCCAGCTATCACACATTTGTACCAGTGTCCTAGAACATTTTAAAGACCACTAGACCATGTCCTGTGTCCATTAATTTTGAAATGAATATAATTTTAGGATTCTGACCTTCAGTTTGACTATATTCTGTGTAATGTTGGTGTCAGCTGTTATGGGGGAGAAGCATAATGCAAACAACCAGAACTCATCTTTTTAACTCGCCACATGATTTGTGTTTATGATATCCCTTCGAATTCTTTTTTTTTTTTTTTTTTTGCTTCTATATAGGGTTCTTTAGGGTTACTATGTGGTGTTTGATTATAATTTGCCTTGCTTGTATTGCTCATATTTCACATACTTCCCTTTTATTTCAAAAATCCTTGACGTCAGTTTATTATGGCGAGCAAGCCTTATTTATTAGAGGAAGGATAGATTCACATGATAAGCGAGCCAAACAGTGACATGAATGAAAGTGATGATTTAATTTCTGAACATGACATAGACATGACATTTCTAGTGATTCTCACATGGACATTTTTTCAGAGACTGAGCTCATTGAGTGTCTGTCTTCCAGTTAATATGAAAGATTTTGTTAAGATTATTCAATCTTGCAAACAGTCTTTCTTATATTTTTTTATTAATTTAAAAGTTTATTAATGTATTTTATCAATTAAAACTGGGATAATTTGAATAGTGCTTCTGTAAATTATTTCTCAAACTAAGCAATTTTTTTTACAGATTTTCATGTAAAATAAAGAGAAAAGTTTATTAAATGCTAATTTAAACATATATAATAGCTTAAGTAATAATCCAAAACAGTACCCTATGACATTAGGATGCAGTCCCCCCTTAAGTTAGGCTTAGTGAACGTAAAATTTCTGGCCTGTGGGATGATTCCTCTCGACTCTGACCCGTCCAGAGGGAACATCTTAAACAAAGGCACACTGTCTCAAAAGGGTTAAATAACAAACAGATTAAATATGAAAGATAAATATCTTGTATTTTGCTGAATGACAGCAGACTTGAATGAAAAATGAAGCAACGCATTTACAGTGGATGACATTTAAAGAGAACCAACACAATTCTAAAAATTCCCATACAAGAATATCCCCCCCCCCCAATGGCTGTATGCATGTTGTTAAGCACTGGTCCAGAACGGCAGAATTGACAGTTGTTTAGACATATCATCACTGAGAATACTTCAGAGGATGCACAATTGGGTGTGGGCTAACTTTACACCCACAAAAAGGGAGAAGAGAACAACTACAAACATCCATACTTTCTCTAGGATTCAAACTTGGGCTCTAAAATATGGCACTAACTAACAATGATACCGGATGTTACAGAACCATAACAGCATCACTAAAAACCACATCAAACAGGATGGCTACAAAGTATTGTGAGCAGATGCACTATTGGTTCATAGTATGAATCATTTTCAAATTGTTTCATATGAAGGACCATTAATATCATTGAGCTGTTATGTGAAAGAATAGATCTATGTTTCATTGCTAGTAATAATTTGTTTCATAAAAAAAACTTACCCTGAGGAAGCATCTCCTTGCTACATATACCTGTTGGTTTATGGGAAAAAATTCAATATTTTTCTAAACAACTTGAGCAGCATTGCATACAAGACCAAATGATATTCAAAATTTCCCAACAAGATCTAAATGATACAGGAACCTGCTCTATAATACCTCTAGTTGTCAGGGGTGTATCCTAAATTTCCACAAACAACATGCTTCTTAATGCCAAATTCAAAATATATATTAATATGCTATCAGGAATTAACATTATATGTATGTCAAAGCTGGCTGCATCATTTGCACATTAACTTTGTTGAATATTGCATACCATATAAAATAATGAAATGCACATGATAAAAGTTTAAAATTTGCATGTTTTATGGATTAAAGTGGATATCATTACAACAGAATTTTAAAATTAGTTACAATTGCTAAACAGCTTATCACATTCAATTTTGTTTAGTTTACGAACACTGCATTATGACACATGTTCATATATAATATATTAGTTCATATTAACCAAGTGTTGATTTACCTTAGTGGTGAAAAGCATATTTCATTCATATTTTACTGATCATTTCAGAAGGGAGAATAAAGAGGAATCAATTCAAATATTTTGTAGTAGGGAGTAGTACTAAGTTTATTTAACAAATAATTAAAGTTCAGTATTTTCTAAATTTTAAAAATTAAACTTTTGGGAAAATTAAATTTGAGGAAGAAAATTTCATTTCTTTAGAAAGTTAGGGAACTGTAACAATCAGACTTAGGATATTTCTGTTTAATGTAATTTTACAATACATTCAAACTTCAAATTTTTCATAATAAATTCTCTTAGGGAAGGATACATTTTACAATTACGTGCTGGCTATGTTTTGTAATTGGAACAAACTAAAAAAAAAAAAAAAAAAAAAAAAATCACTGTTTTGCTTTTATGGTATTCATAAACCTTTGGACTAGAATTCATATCATTCTGAACAGTAGGAAATATCCACAGTGAAGTCCAATTATTTTTCCTCCTCTTATTTAGATTTACCAGTTTTATGTAATTTTACCTCATTGTGGAATGAATGGATTAATCAAAATCACCAAGTGGCAGATTTTATTTTTAAAAATTTTATTATTTTTAATACTACACATTTATAAAGCTTTGCAGGTACTTCATTTTCTGATTTAAGAGAAGATATCTTTTATATCTCTCACGTGCGGAAAGCTCTAAACTTATCCTAATATAACAGTGAAATTTTTTGTATTTAAAGTTAGACACTAATAGCACAATGAAGTTACTAACTTTTCTGTCACAATTAAATGACTGAAAAGATCCCCCCCCCAAAAAAAAAAATGTTTTTTAACATCATAAGCTACTAAATGGCTAATATTTTTGCATAATGTAATTTGAAAATTCCTTCTGCTGCTGTTTTTATATTTACTGCACATGCCTGTTAGAGAACAAGTATATCACCCTTAATATATTTATTTCAGAGAAATTAAAAAGCTAAATATTTCTTGAATTATGCCATTTATGAGTCTCTCACTTTTGTTTTCAGCCATGCTTCACGTTTTTAGAAAAGATACTTAGTTCTCTAAATAGATCACACTATTATATGGAACTCAAAAGCCCAAAAATAAGGATAAGCCATTCTTAAAATTAGATATATAGTAAAACAAAAACCTCAGAGCAGAAAAATTGTCTCTAACATACAAGAAATAATAATAAATTATGATAAATTCAAAGGCTTTCTCTTCTTGAATCTTAACATGACAACATGCAATTTACCCACTTTCACACAATTACAGAGGGAAGGAGATGAAGAAAGAAAGACCCATGTAAAATGTTTCATTAACCTGATGCTATACTTTGTCAACATGCACAGTCCAGGGCATTTTCTTAATGCCCAGCACACAACTTTTAAAAAAAAAATTTCAATTCTAAAATTAATGATTCAGTGCCTAACGACAGATTAAAAGCAGTTAATAAGGATTTTCTACATGAGTGAGAAAACAAAATTCTTTTTTTCAAAATTTTAAATTTATAGGCATGTGCTGCATGCATATTATGAACAGAGATTGGGGCCTCTGCTAACTGTTTAACAAAAGTCTCTAAATACCAAGATCTCCGATCTGAACAATTTGTTGCATATTAGTTACAATGGATGGTCTATCATAAGTATAGTTCATCCTTGATGCATTCTCTGCCTTGGTTAAATATCTTATACCACTAAAAAAAGGTCCTGTTTTCGATAAAGTGTTGTTAAAGGCTTTTCACAACATTTCAAATAATTTTGCAGCAAAAATTTCATTACAAAAATAAATAACATTTAATGCATGTTCTTCGCTGAATTATACTTTTAATTTTGGCAAATTGGCAAAATAATATTTTTCATTCATTAAAAACAAAGTTATTTCCAAACAAGCAAAGAAGAAAGAATATCGCATGTTAACAGATGTGGACGAAACAACTGCTGAAAAAATTTTGCAAGTTATTTCTTGCATAAACATATTTTAAAAAGAAATCATTGCCAATATTTTTTACTCATTAATCCAACATCAAATGTAGAATTACTGATTAAACCTTGTGCAGTTTGCAGAATTAGGAAAGCATTATTGCACAGATTAATGTAAGCAAAATAGATGGTTTATATTAAAAAAATAGTTTAGGAATAAAAAACTGACATTCAACATATTTTTATATGGATTTTAGTTACTGCATGCCTTTTTACTAGTATAATTTTATTATTAATGTTATCACATGTTCCATAAACAGTGCATCAAAATGCCTTATATTAAAACATATTTTAAAGTGTTATAATACAGCATTTAATTTTTGCAAAATAATTACATTCAATGACATAAATAGTTTATAATATTGCAATATTCAGAACAGAAGATGTTTAACTAAGCTGCTTTTTAAAACGAATATGCTTTCTTAGTTATACATTTGACTACATATACCGCTCTAAATACAAATGAAAATATTTACTATTCTAAACAAAATGTCTTACAGAGAATATTTAGAAATAAAGTACTCCTTTCCAAAGAAAAGAAAATTAAAACATTTTCAATACAGTTTTAGAAGACTTTCTTGACAGTGCAAATACACTGTGGTTCAAATATAACCAGAGCTGATTTTTTTTTTTAAATTTATTTCCCAAAGCCTTTATTGTGAATAAAACAGTTAAATATGTCACCCTTTAACATAATCCCCTCTAGAATCAACAGAAAGTCCCTCTAACACATTTCCCTCTAGAGTCAACAGAGTCCCTCTAACACACTTCCCCCTAGTTGTCAAATTCTGGAAGCATTTTCATGCCCTTTTCACAGACGTATTTCAGTTGGCTGTGAAACCACTCCTGAACACTGATGGTGTAGCCATCATTATCTACCAACTGCATGCCTTCCAAGTATGATTTAAGCCAGGGACCTGGAGTTGGAATACTGGACCCACATTTCGTAGCTGGCCACTATAGGCTTAAAAAAATGCATCCCCTTCATCTTACACCATCATAGGAAAGAAACGACTGTTCACATATGCATCACTTGTTCTTGTCTGTCAGCTTATGTGAAATCCACAAGGCATACACCTAGTACAGTGCAATGTTTTTTGACAATGGTTTCTACACTATCATCCATGAGTGAGTGAGAGAAAGATTATTGGCACAGAACCAAAGATGATTATAATGCGCCAAACACGAGATAGGATGTTCTAATTTGAAGAAATCAAACAAATCCAGAGGATGAAGTAATGTAAAAAAAAAGGTAAAAGCACACAAGTGGTAAATGCACACAATAAAATACAATCCACAATCTTCAAAACAGATTACATTAGATAATAAAATCCAGTCTCTTTTAAATAATAAAATAAATTACAACTGACTTCTCTTCTGATTAAATGGTCGAGAGGTAAGTCACAGCTATTAAAATATTTCTGACGAAGATTATTAAAACTTGAACACTCAATTAAAATACACTATCATCAGTAACTGAAAGCATTGATACAAGGTTTTTTTTATAGTGATGTGCCTATTCTCATGAATAACTACATTCACACAGTCAGTGTTTGCCAAATCAATAGATGTTCACAGAGCTCTCTTGTATCTCCATGAAGCACTTGCACCACTTAATTCACATTGGTTCTAGAAAAACACTCTTCTACATATTATGCTTGGATTTTTGCCAAAATTCAGATAATGGGAATCTCACAAAAGAAAAATTTGATCATGATGCTATGTTCTGTCTACCAAGCCTAACAATGCCTTAGGCATTGTTAGCTCATCATTCTTACAATTTCCAGACAAGAGTGAGCAAGTTCTAAGCTGCATAGAAGGTATGGTGGGGAAAGCAGCTGTACTCACTCAAAAAACTGTGCATGGGTATACTGATTTGTAACAGCAACAATCCTGGTCATATTTGAATCTCCTTGTAAATCACAGCTTCATAAAAGGAAATACTCTATGTTCCTATCCTTATTGCAAATTGTTCACTTTCACGCCTATCCAATTAATTTCCACCTTTTTGCTGCCCTGCATTGGCAACACGCTTTTGAGATTTGTTGTTCATAGAATACGGTCACTAAAAGCGTAGCTGACTTGTAATGATTGTAAATCTTATTTTAATGCTTATCTGTATTGCTGAGTTATTACTAAATGTTTACGTATAATGTTTTATTACTAAATGTATTCAGTTTGGTTTAAATAGACCGAGAGTGATTGAATTTATCAAGTATATTTAAAATCGAAACTACGTCATCCATTTCAGCACCATTCTAACACAGGAACGTAAACACAAATATTTATTTGATTATTAAATGCACAAAAAAAGCATATTGTCATTTTTTAAAAGTCATATACAGTTAAAAAAAACAGACATAAAAATGCTTCTATAATTAAATAGAATGTATAATGCAATTATACAAATGATCAATATTAATGATCAAACAACCAAATTACACAAAAGTTTAATATTCACTCCTGTGAAAGGAAAAATATATTCACACATGTATAAATTGTAAAATACAACAGTGTAATTTAAGTTTAAAATATGAACATTTTAAAACAGTAAAAATACGAAAAATAATTTAATTACCCATGAACTGCAACTGTATCCTCATCACCTGGATTTTCTGTACTTTTTTCAAGCCCACTTTCTTCGTAATTTTCTACTGCATGAAAAAAATTACTGTTGTTAAATTTTTTGTCATGGATAAATGAATATAATTTTCTTGACTCTTTAATTTATAATGAGATGCATCAACACATAATAAAAATAAAAGAATGGCATAAAACTTAATAAAAACTAAAACAGCTGCCATATTTTGATGTAATGAATGATTTTTACACATTTAAAATTTTAGGCTGCTTGGGGAGAGAAGGCATACAATTATTATTCCAATTTAAATTAGAAACTTAGTAACATTCTATATGCAATTAATAAATTATTTATAACAATTGCCTTTGTATTAAGACATTCATGAAACAGATCATAATTTGAAATACAAAATGTCCTTATATTCCACCTCAGAATGAAAAAGAAGTTTCACAAAGTTTCAGCATTTTAAAACAGGTGAAATTCAACCTATATTCAAAAAAATTCTCATGAGCTTCAAAATAAAATCTAAAAGGGATCTCTAATCATTAGCTGAAAGCTGTTCTATGCCACCTCATAATTTAATACATTGAAATAAAATACACTGACTTTACAAAAGGAAAATTTTAACCTCAGTTTAGTATGGATTCCAAAAGACTAAATTTAATATAATTTGAAAGAAAATCTGAGATTTTATCTACCAGAAGAATTAAAGGGTAACTGGAGAATTCCTACTTTTATTAATGTTAAATATGTTAATACATTGTTAGATACAATGTTAAATACATTGGTCAAAGCAGAAATCTCTCATAGCAAGGTTTCACTTTTGCACGATAAGAAAATTGCAGAAACCTTCATACAGCATGGCAACATGCCTTCACGCTAGCAAATTAATAAACATGCATAAACCTTCTTATAACACTTTATGAATGTACAGTACGCAGGAAAAAAAAGGGAGGCATTTCTATATCTCCCGTTCTACAGGGCCAATTGACAAAATTCAAATTGCGTTTTTAATGTCTCAAAAGCGTGACTTAGGATATATATTAGATTTATACATAGCACTATTCTACATAGGTATTTTGACACAAAATAAGGACTTTTTGTGAGCATACCAATTTTTTTATATATTTCGATTCTACAACTCAAATTATGCCAGACTACCAAGTTTTGTAAAAATTGTACGAGTAGTTTTTAAAAAATTAGCTCTCAAAATTTTAGCTCCTCAATGTTAATTGAGTTTGGCATATATTTATTAATATCTCTTTTTTATTAAACTTTTTTTATTCTTCCTTTCACATTTCGAAACTTAGGTTCATTCCAAATAAAATTCAGCCATTTTTTGAGTTTTATTTTTAAAATTTCTATTTTTAAATAATTTTTATAAATTTTTTGAAAAAGAATTTGAATTATAACCTATAAAATTTTTACCATCATCTTAAAGTAGGTGTAGTTCTAAGCATATCTGCAAAAAATTAGAGTTTTTTATTCAAAATTCTGTAAGATATACAATAATTTACCTATTTTTGCGTATTGAAATTTGGCATCTTTTTTTTTGAGCAATAATAACACCAAATGTGGTTTATGGATTTTTGTTACAGTTAATTGCCACAGCTATTTTTAACTTTAAATTTCAAATAAATTTTTACAGAATTAATTATATGAATTTTTCCCCTCAGTGATGCACAATAAATATTTATTAATACTTATGAAAAGCTATTTTTTAAAAAAAATTCTTTCTGACTTCCTTTTTTTCTTTTCATTTTTTCTTTCTTTTTTTTAAAATTTTATTTGTAAGAGTAAATTTTTACCTTCACCGTGTTATCGTCTGCTACTTTACTTTGCATTTAAATTGAATTGTCTAAAATCAAGAAAGGCCGTTTGATGTTTATTTTCACAATGTTCTTAAGCAAATGGGACATTGAAAGTTTGGGTCATGTCCCAGTTTTAAAAAATATACCAGGTGGCCATAATTAAACTGACAGTGCTCACAGTGTTCTGTAGCGCGATCTATTTGCGAGAATGACGCCACATTTTGTAGGAAGATTAAACTAGATGGGGGACGAAGGATTCCGTGAAAAAACAAATTAGTCCAAAAGTCACCGCTAGGGGGATATTTGGCGCTGTGTAATAGAAAATAGAGTGTTAACAAATGCAAATTAATATGGAATAAAATTACCTTTTATTATCCACATTTGGCAACACTTTTAAAAAAGCCTAAAATCTACATACACACCAATAAAGTCTCGTGATCTGCAATATCACGTATGCTGAGTAGTAGAAGAAGTTCTTTATTCAAATTTCACGTTACATCCATTCACACAGTGCCAGCTGCTTGGGTTTTAAAAGGCAATGTATTACGTTTCAAATCAATTGGATTGAAAGTTTATGGGCAATGTCTCCTTCTTTAGTCGAGCATGCGTTACTGGTCAGATTCTTTTAACTCAACCAGTGCAATGTGTCAGCCGCTCTTCGTGCTTTTAGAACGCACAAAAAAATGCGTAAAGGTAACGGTCCTGTGTCAGTTAATGGGCTAAAAGCAATGGTTGCGATGTTTGAGAAAACAGGTTCTCTGAAGGTTCAGTCAGGCAGAGGACGAAAACCTGTACCACAGGATACAATCGAAGCAGTTGCCACGGCGATTGTATACAGAGGACCACCTCTAGCGCTCGTGGAGTAGCTCGGAATATGGATATGCCTTACAGTATGGTATGGAAAATCTTACGAAAGATTATCAACTTCTATCTGTACAAGATCAGTCGTGTACAGGAGTTACTGTACCCTGACCATCATAAGTGATTGACTTTTGCTCTCACCTTTCTTGCCAGAATGGAGGTGGATGATGCTTGGCCGTGGAAAATCTTATGGGGAGACAAGGCCCACTTTTACCTGAATGGAACTGTGAATACCCAGAACTTCCGAATTTGGGATGATGAATCACCATGCAGTCACAGCGATTCCCTTACATTCACCAAAGGTAACTGTTGGAGTGGGTTCACAGCGGAATTTATCGCAAGTCCAATTCTTCTATGAGAACATTACCCCGACAGGACCAGAAACCTGTTCTGTTACCGGAGAGAAAAATCGCCACATGTTGAAGAGCTTTGTCATTCCGGCATTTCATCAAAGCCAATGCCTGGGGGAAATCATTTTCATGCAAGATGGAGCCCCTCCACATGTTGCTGTATGGGTGCAACAGATGCTATGACAGAAATTCACAACAGAAAGAGACATTAGCCGCTACTTTCCAACTGCATGGCCACCTCGGTCACCTGATCTTACCCCATGTGACTTCTGGCTATGGGGTTACCTTAAGTCCAAGGTCTATCAAGGAGTGGTCCAGGACCTGTTTACGTTGAAGGATAACATATCTGGGACTGTATGGGAGATTCCTGCAGACATGTTACTTTCTGCTGTTGTGCATACTGTGCACAGAATGCAATATGTGGTCCACAATAACGGCAGCTACATTGAACCTCATTTGAATGCAAAAAAAAAAAAAGGCAATTTCCGTATTGATTTGCATTTGTTAACACTATATTTTCTATTACACAGAGCCAAATATTCCCCTAGCGGTGACTTTTGGAACTAATTTGTTTTTTCAGAATCCTTCGTCCCCCATCTTGGTTAATCTTCCTACAAAATGAGGCGTCATTCTCGCAAATAGATCGCGCTACAGAACACTGTGAGCACTGTCAGTTTAATTATGGCCACCCGTTATATAATTTTTATATAAATCCACTTAAATAATGTTTTAAGTAGTAATTTTCTCTCATGTTGTAGATTATATAAAAAACATATCCTTTAAAATAGAAATTATTAGGTTTAAAAACTCTAAATAAAACGATTTAGATTGTTTGCATCGATATAAAAATCGGGCCACTCCGTGGTACAGGATAAGCACTGCTGGAGTGGTTTATTTCTTCCTCATTAAAAAAAAAAAAATCTTTTAATTCAAATATTTATTCTTTGGACTTTGCTTTAAAACTTTATTTACAGTTAAAATGTCTAGAAAATGAAAAGCTATCTTCAGCTGAAACACATTTGATGCAACAAATGTTTTTTAAAAAAAATGACAAGAATGCAAAATTTATGGAAGTGTAACAATCAAAAAATCTTAATTTTCTTGGGTCAACTGAAAACAAATGTAGAAGTAAAGAAGAAAATTAGTGGTGGTGGTGGTGGGGGAAGTTGGATTTCAAGGCAGTTGGGTGTTCAAAGAGAAAACACTTGCATGTGCACATCAGAAAATAGCAGCAATTGAGTTAGTACTAACGGAAAAAACAAAAACGATATCATTGTAGATTAAAGTGAACAGCAACTGGTTTTCGACTATACGTTTGTATAAATTTAAATTAATTACATTATAGAACATCATATAATCATAAACAGAGAATCCCATGATTTCCTAGTCAAAATATTTGAATATTCAGGAATCCAGTGATGTATGTGGATGTCACCTAAAGACGTTTTTCATCTTGATGAAACTAGTCTTTCCTTTCATCTCATGCCTTAAAATGCTTAGCCTCTAAAGACTGATAAAGGCTCAGACCAAGTACTGAGGAAATGGATTGAATTGGATTATTAAGTTACAGCAAAGCAATATATGCAAGTCCTCCTAAGTTAAAATGTCGGTTATATATCTTTCTCATTTATATATCTTTTCTGAACGGAACATTGAAAGGCGTGTTAACTGTACTTTACTGTATTTTCTCTTTTAATGTATTCAGTTTTCAGATGCATCGTAGTCCGAGACACAAAGTATCCTTTCGAAAGAAAAGCAATTCAAATAAATAAAATAAAATCCTGAAAATTTTATATTAATAAATATATTTAAAATGCTCAATTCAAATGAAAAAATAGTAAATTTAAAGAGATGATGCAACACAAACAATTAAAATAAAAGTCTAAGAATTTAAAAATTGCCTAAAATAATAACTGTTAACAAAAAAAAAAAAAAAAAAAAAAAAAAATATAATTATAAAAACTATTTGAAAAATATAAACGATGCACCTTATATTTAAACTACGTGGTTCGAAATGGTAAATAGAAATTTTTAAAACAGTTATTCGAAAG